GGCGCCAGAACAAATGGGCTTGAGTGTCAGCTACAGAGTCTAGACTTTGTGCTGTCGGAAATGGGGAGCCGTGAATGGGCTTTAAACAACAGGAGGAGACAGACATTCCAGTAAATTTAACTATAGGAAGGCACAGATCTTGGGGCGGGGAGGTGAGGTACACTAAGCAGGCGGCCAGGGCAGGCAAGGAGGGAAATCACAGGGCTCCCAAGAGTCCAGAGAAGGAATGACAATGGCCTGAACGCCTTCTGAATAATGTTCCGACTCCACACGTGGCACCCAATGGCCTTACAATCCAGCCTCCGTCCTGTGTCATCCCCCACCTCGCACTCAACCTGCCAGCTAAGCTGAATTACTCTCCCAAAGCCACATCCTTATGGTGCCGTTCCCTGTACCCATATTTCCCCAGTCTCCCAAAACCTCAGCCTCCATTCCTGTGAGTCTGGGTGATACACACCTTCTGTTTGTGCGTGCCTCGTGGATGGCTGCCTCACTTACCTCCCTGTCTCCTCATCACCCACATTCAGAGCCCAGTAGGGAGAGAGACAGAGTCTGGGAACACGCAGGCCTCCAGGCACCCAGAACACGCTGCCTGGCAGCCTCTTAGTCAGTAGGTGCTCAATGAATATTTGTTAAATGAATCTGAACAAAGCTTCTTGTTTTCTGAGGTATTGAAATACAGAGGATTTATAAGTAAGCTGAAGCTTAAAAGCTTTATAGGCAAAACCTGAGTACCCAAAAATTGTGTCTTTACTTCAGAAAAGGACCTCTTTTCACATTCAAAGGCCTAAGTGATCAAGTTTCCTTTCTTTGATCTCATTTCTTCCTGTAACCCTTCTAACAGACACTGAAAATTCCTCTCTGATTCTACCTCTTATTTACACATATGCCCCAATTTCCTATCACAGGAAATTGTGATAGGAATTTCTTGGGAACGAAATGAGGAATTGATATAAAACTCACATGTGAAAAGTTTTACATGTAAAACTCTTCATGATACATTAGGCTTTTGAGAGCTCCTTTTAGTGGCAAACCCCTTCTAGATTTAAATGTTTCTCCATAGACCATTACCTCCTTGCCAGAGAGGGGGAATCAGCAAATCTTAACTCCGAAACAAAGACAGCATCTATGGAAGGAAAAAAATAACAGTAACCACAACAACATGTCCTGGGTGACTACTCTATACTAAGCACATAGATGCTGGGTGTTTTATACCCAGCACCTGCTCCCCTACAACGTCCCACTCCCATATTCCAGATAATAAAACTAAGGCTCAGAGAAGGTAAATGATTTTCCAAAATAAAGCAAACGGCATTTTGAACTCAAGTCCATCCAACTCCAAGCCTGTTCTCTTTCCATTACATCAACTATTTTGAATCGGAAATAAAAATGAAAGGAAAAAAAAATTCATGACAGTACAACCTAACATAAGCTTCATTTGTATCAGTGTGTTTCAGTCCCTGTCTAAAAACATGTTCACTACACTCAAGGAATGTGGGCACTAAAGAGTTTCCCTTCTCCCCTTGGAACCACTGCCAAGAAGACTAGCAAGAAAAAAGAAAAGGGGACCATCAAACACCAGATAGAGAATGGCCCTACTGGAAAGGCACCAGGCTGGACCCATCCCTGGCCACACACAGACTCCCAGCTCACGACTTCTCCAGGAGGCCGCTGCAGCCTGCAGGGGGAGGCACCCGAGCCTGGGAAGGCAGACCTTGCAAAACAGGATGCAAGTGTCACAGCACATGGCATCTGAGCAGTGCTTCGTCCCTGCACCTACACGGGCTCCCCCACCACAGCTGGCATCTCAGCAAGTGCACTCAGCTTTACAGCAAAACAATCAGAAGGCCCAAAAGCATTCCTGGTTTGGGTTCTACCCCTCCAAACTCCAACATCATCAAAACTTGGGGGACTGTGATCAGGCCCAGCTCCCCTTCAATAGCACCTTGGGACACCTCCTCCCTAACACCTACTTCCCTCTTCCAATCACAGTGAGCCCCTCTGGGACAGCATCCCCTCTACTGATGACCTCGCCAAATCCCACCATTTTGTGGGGCTCAGGTAAAGGTCAGAAGCAGTTGGCGATTGCTTGTGCCTACAATGGTCTCTCCGTGCTCTGACTGTAAACCCTGTCCTGCTCAGCATTTACCTACATGTCTATCCAGATGCACTCAGGGCCAATGCATTTCATTCCAGTGCTGCAACCTGGCACAGCATTCATTATTCATTCTTTCCTGTAGCTAGACTTACTGAAACACTCACCTGCTCTGTGCTAGGCCCTGAAGATACAGGGGCTCACAGTCTAGAGGAGGATGGATAATATAAAACAGAACTGTACAAATATACTTATCATAATAAGGTACAAGACACAATCCAAAGTATTACTATCATAACACCCTGTTTATTTCCTTCATATCATTTAGCCCTGTCTGTGGCTGTTAGGTCTGTCCATTTGCTCACTGTCAGTCTGCCCCAGCAGGGGACACGAGGACAGGAACCTAGTCTGTCTGTCCCCAGCACTCAGTAGAGACTTGGGCTCGGAAACACACTCACTAAAAGCAGTATCTATTAAAAGTGATAAAGGAGACAGCGAAGTGTCAGGAATATTAGCACAAGCCCAACTTAAGAGGTCCAGGCAATGCTTCTGTGACAGGGAGAAGGCTGGGCTCGATGCCACTAGCAAGCACCAGAATGAAAAGGGGTGAGGCACAGTCCAGAAGAGGAAACAGGATGAACAAAGGTAAGAAACGGCAAATCAGCATGATCAAGGCGGTCAGGGCAAAGCCCCCAAGTACTGCTGCAGACCAGCTGTCCTCAGAGACATGTAGCAATGGCTGGACACATGTTTGATTGTCGTGACTTGGGGCAGCAGTTGCTGCTGGCACCTGCTAGGTAGGGCCCAGGGGTGCTCCAAAGAGCCTACAATGTACAGAACAGCTCCCCCACAAGAAGAACGATCTGGTCTACAATGTCAATAGTGCTGAGTTTAGCAACCCTAACATTTAAGGGATAGCACCAGATAGACGGATGGGTGGTCAGACAGACAGAGGAGCATCTTTTCAGGATGGAAAAAGACTGAGTCCTTGGATCTGTGCCTCGTGCAGTTTCCCACGGAGGCAGGGTTGGCCTGAATGCTGACCCCCCTGCCCCGCGCCCTGGTACGGGGTGGGACGGGAGGCTGTCCTGGAGAAGGCTTCAAAGAGGTCATCTCCCCAGGACCCTGGGCCTTGGCAAGGAATCAAGCAGCTGGACCCGATGGAGTGGCAGGAGCGGGGATGTCAGCAAAGACCAAGTCCTTTTGTCTCAAAGCGGCAACACACAACTGGGCTGGGCCTGCCGCAGACAGTGAAATCTGGGGTAGCCCCAGAACTTGTCAAGGCACGACCCTCTCCTCGGCTTCTCATACAGCCTCACACTTGCTTCTTTTCAGCTAAAGTCTCTCAGTCTAAAATGGGTTTGCTTATTTTTGGCCCAGCAAACAATCTTGTGTTATCTGAACTGTGACTCTAAGAGAAAAAAAAAAAAAAAGTTCACCATTTTTTCCTGTTGTAAGAAACCCAATCGTGGACTATTTCTAACAAGTAGACCCCAGACCCCCACAGGGCCTATCTCCTGCTCCCAAGTTTCCTCATCTCTGAAGTGGGCACAATACCACCCACCTTACATGTCTCACTAATAATCCTAAAAAGGACTTAAATCAGAAACATTTCGAAATGGGGGCAATGAATGAAAATTTAATTTATAGCCAACTTTTTATGGAACTGTGTGGTGGGTAGAACAACAAAATCCAGAAATGGCACCCCATGCAGGGCAGGACTGCATGGTCCTGGACAAACCTGGGTCTTTCGGACAGAAGGATAGACAGATGGCTCTGTACACAGCCAGGGCTGGAGAGAAGGGACAGGTTACACTAGAAAGTCGAAATGGGAGTTGAAGTAAATTTACTACAATTCTAAGCAAGGTCTGCACCTCTCCAGGTAGAATAAATCTGTACAGGTGGTGCCCAGTCAGACATGAATTGTCTTCCAGAAGTCATTTGTGTGTCGGGTGTTCAGAACTTGGCAAGCATTATTTTACATCCCAAGCCAGCCCACAAAAGGTGACAGAACTTACAAAGTATCTGGCACACAACACACTTAGCACAAAACCAGTAAAAAGCAAGGTGTTGATCTCATTGTTAAGATATATCAAAAGGCTTAGAAAAACAAATACACATTCATCAGTCCCCTTGACCTGAGCCCAAATCATGAGCCGGGTCCTGGCCCTCCCGCAATGACCCAAGTCGTTACTGAAATGAGGTCCTGGGAACCTGAAAGGGGAGAAATGAGAAACAGGCCCGCCTCAAGAGGCCAGGAGCTCTGGTGGGAGAGGATGAGTGGCCTGGGGTCTCTCGAATGGAAGAGGAAGGCCCAGTACTTACCCACGGCACAGGAAAGAACAGACGTGCTGTCAAATCCAGAAGAGCAGCAAGGTGCACAACAGAACAGTGGCCCCCGGCCTGCTGCCCAAGCAGGCGCAGTGCGCTGCAGCGGAAGGTAAGTGGCCCAGCCTACGGCCACCGAGCACCAGGGAGGGAAGAGGAGGGGATCCCCAGCAGGTTCTGCAGTGGTGGGGACGGCCCGACACTCAGAGGCAGGAAGAAGGAAGCTCCCACACTGGCCATCGAGTACAGGGAGTGTCCCAGGGTCACATGCGATTCTAACAGAGATGGCCAGGTCAAGAAAGAACCTTCTGAACTTCATAAGAAGTGAAATTTACATAAACAGATGGTTATATAATCAGATTTCTGGTGTCTTTGAGAGAACAAGACGGACAAGAAGATGAAGACCCTGGGGAATGTCCTACTCAACCTGGAGCGCTCACGCCTTTAGGACAGGAAGGTACTTAATTCCAGTTGTTGCTGAAAACTATACCTGAGCCAACGCCAAATACAAAAGTGATGCAAAACGCTGAAACCAGGTTTGAAAACCTAGAAGCTTTATCGTTTATCCACACTGTACCTTCTTTAGTCCTCCAAATAAAGGGCCAGGTTCCAGGTCAAATTCTTGGTCCAGTTCCTCTTCATGTTCTGACAAGAAAAACAGTGTCCATTAGTGTTTAGTCACAAATCTAAATAAAACTGAGCTGGTTTCCTAGGAGAGGCACTAGATGAAATTGGAACATGTCCTGGAAAAGCTGCCTGTGGACTGAGCTACAGGCATGGAAACATGTCACACTCATTGACTTTCCGCTCCAGTTTTCTGTGGCCTAAGTTCCTGGAAATATGTGGTAGGACTGATGGAAATTTCTCCTTCAGTTGTAATAAGGGCCACAAGAGGAAAGGAGTTGAGGAAAGCTTCCAGCACAGGGAACCATGGTACAGGATTCATGCAAATGCCCCACTTGTACAGGAGGTGAACATTTTTTTTAATAGACCATGCCACAGAACGGTGGTGATCATAGCCCCACGATACGGCATAATGCTAGCAAGGTTATAAAATGGAATTAGGCAATGGTAATAAGTATAAATAAATAATACAATTGGTTTAAAACAAAAGGTATTGCAATATCTTCATTCAAATAGTTCTTTAGCTTGTATAATTACCAGGCATGGTATGAAACACTAGAGATGAAACAGAACAGATTGACTTGGTCTTTGCCCTCCTGGGACTTGCTGTTCATTGGATAAGAGAGACAAACAGATAATTAGAAATCACAACAGCGCTGATGAATGCCATGATATAGGACGTAAGGAGTGCCATGGGGCTGAGTTTGGGTGTCTAGGTGACATCCAGTAGGCGGATGAATGGGTATGGATGGAGCTCCAAGGAGATACCTGAGTTAGAGATACAGACTTAGGAGTGTTCAGCATAAGGGCAGTGAGGAAGCCTCCAGAATGACTGAGATCACCCAAAAAGGCACACAGTGCACAGACAAGAAAAGCACACATCAGTGATTACTGGACCAAAAAACATACAAAACCACAGAACCAAAAAGGAGCTACCCAGAAAAACTAAAAGAAAACCAGGAAAAGTGTGTAATCACTAAAACAAAATCAAGAAATGATGCTGATTTCAGAGTAGGATCAAGGACAGATTCAAACACACTGGATGCAAACAGCAGCCCCAGCCTCCAACCACAGGCACTACTACCCCTAGGAACAACAGGAAAGGGAGAGGAATCGAGGCTCCACAGCACGCAGCTCTGAGACGCATTCACACTGCAGTCCATGGTCCAGCAGGTGCTGTGGAGGGCTGTGACTGCAGCAGGGCCCTGGCCTCTGTTACAGCTGCACCACACATGCACACACATACTACATCGTGCAGAGACTCAAGTCACAGGAATCAGCTCACAGACAAACAGCAAGCTACTGCAATCCAGCAAAAAAGTAACAGCAACTTCCTAATTCATTAACACAGAGAGGGTGGAAAAACTTCTCTGCCTCCTGCCCCTTGTGTTTTGGCTTCAGTTTCATACCAAGAGCAACCTCCAGAAACATCAGAATTATGCAGAACTGAAACAGAGCAGAAACCTGAGTTCTTTTTCTTCTTTTTTAAAAGTGTACATTCAGAAGCAATGAGGTTTAGATGCTAATCACCAGGCTTCCTGAAGCTGGAACACATCTCCCTCTAGTGGGAAAACAGAATCTTATGCAGAGAGGAGAATTATAATGAAATCCCGCCTGGTGCTGTCCAATCGACATACTATCTGAGACACATTCATCATTTTACAGTTTCTAGCAGCCAAACTTTAAAAAGTAAAAATGAGTGAAATTAATGTTAGTATATTTTATTTATCTCAATATATCCAAAATATTATTTCAACATGGAATCACTGTTAAACAATTATGAATGAGTAATTTCACATTCTTTTTTCCTATGAATTCTTCGAAATCCAATGCACATGTTATCCTCATAACACATCCCGATTTGAAGTGGCCGCATTTCAAGTGCCCACCAGCCACATGTAGCGAATGGCTACAGGAATGCGCAGCATAACTCCAGACCAAAAATCCTCCCTCACGTTTTGGAGAATTCCTACAAATTCCTCTTATCTGATTTCTTGACATAAACAAATGCTATATGACATACATTTAAACTACACATTAAATCGGTTGTGGGCTTGAGTCTGCCCTCCTTGGTTCCTGTCCCCACTTTAACAAAGAATTGAAGGGCAGAGACACAGTACTGAAACAGAGCAGAAGTTCGGTTTTTTTTCTTCCTTCCCACCAAGGGAGGAGCAGGCCAGAGTGAAGGCAGACAAAGGCAGGTTTCCTTGAATAAAGCAGAGAGGAAGGGGAAGCTCACTGACGGGAACTTGCAGGCTCAAATCAGAGCTCTCAGTAGCCCCTCCCTGCCTATTTGAAGTAGGACAGAGAGTGAAGGCTTGTACTTAAAGTCTAGAAAATGGAATGAAATAGCAAAGTCACTAATATTTTCCTGGAAGAGAACAGAGACAAAACGTAGTAAGCTGAGCAGTAAGAAGTCTTTTAAAAAAGCCCATTCCAAGAAAAGGGAGTGCGGGCAACCTCACAGAGTAGGTGCACTTAAGGACTTCGGATTCTGTCTTCCAAGGTTTTCATGAATAAGGTAAAAGGGAGGGCTGGGGGCCATTGGGTGTAGGCTTGACTTGTGGTTTCATGATGTGTATCTCCAGTGAGAGACAATATATCCCCACCCAGAGCCAGTCCTGTAGATAACTCTGTAGGATAAACTTCCGGCTCTTCTCCAAGATAGTGACCAGCCCCAGGCACTGGCAACGCATCAGTCAAGACGGCTTGCTTTGCCTTAAGATAGGTTGTTGGCTGACTACCAAAGAATATGCCAGGTAGCTAACTTCCCAATTCCCTTTTAAAATGGAATCCTTTTTTTAAAATAAGTTCCTTTTTTTTCTTATTATGCTATTCCTATCTCCGCGTTTTTTAGGAAAATTAATCATGATGCTTGTCCCATGTCTCCGCCCTATATCACCTGCATTAGCCAGAGCAAGTCTCAAGGTCAGCCCAGATGCAGAGCGCATGGCATGAACTCATATTGCAAAGGGCGTTAACTCTCTGCCCTTTCTGGCCCTCTGGCTTTATCTGATTAACTCTCTGAGTTCTCAGTGGGCCCCACCCTCTTTTCATCCCACTCATATGTCTTTCAGCCTAACAAATCCATTCCCAGACCCTTTGGAAACTGCTGTCTTTAGACTGCCTTAAATTAGCTGAAAAGGCATGGCTCTGGGTTTTGGGTGATGTGGAACAGAAGCTGAGAACCTGGAGCAGATGTTTCCCTTCGGAGTGACAGCCCTCACACCTCTCTGATTATCCCTGCTAAGGAGAGATCCCATATTATCACCCCTGGAGCAAGACAAGTTTCATCCTAACATACATGCACTCAAGCCAAAACACTGCAATGGAGAGAAAGGACCCTCCTCCACCTAACAATCTTCACACCACATAGGCCTGCCTGCCGGGCAGAGCCAGCTCTTTCCTCCAGGTGCCCTATTCTCCTTCCCAAAATTCAGTGCTCCACAAAACTGTCTGAGAGCACAGAGGTGAAGCAATCCCTGCTTATGAGCCCTCAGTAGAAATCAGCTGTTGTTTCTTCCCCCTCCAACCACCACCCAAAGAAAGGATACACCAAAGCTCCATTCCACCTTGGGAGTGAGAGGAATTTGCATTTTAATCACTTGCCAATGAGCTGTGGTGGGAAACCATTTACTTAAAAGCTCTAAGTAACCTACCCCTTTCACCCTCCACATTTTGATGGGAAATCAATTCTTGGGTGGGGTAGAGGAAATTAGAGGGCAATAATCAGAAAGAGGGGAAACACACACACACACACACACCCCTGTTTGATACAAGCCACTGCCAGGGTCTAGCACACCCAGTCACCGCTTACTGTGTCCTGCTGTTCCCATGCATTTGAAAAATTCCAATCAGCTCCTACTGATTCTTTATTTCTTTAGGAAGCCAGTGGGTATAGCAGACTGTGGCCGTAAATGACAGCACGGAAAGGGAAAGGGAGCAGAAAAGATGGGCTTCTAGAGATAAGAGAATTTAATGTATGCAACTGTAATGTAAGCAATCATAAGAAGAGAGATGATCAGGTGGTGGTTTTTCCATGACATTCCTCAGTTGTGTGGCCTCCTTCTCTCCTCTCTCCCAATTCCCACCCAGGGAATGAAAACGTGACTTAGAAATAGCAAAAGCAAGTCATATATGTAAACAGGACACAAAGCGATGTAAGACCTAAATGGCCCTCAAGTCTCCCTAATAGTGCTTCTCATCTGCTACTCACCTAAAGAACTGTGGGGTCTATCAAGTCAGGCCACCAGGCATGCAATTTGCATGAGAATCCTAAGGGCTCCCAGGAGAAGAAACCCCAGACTGAGATGGAAACACCCCAGAGAAAAGGTAGCCATAAACTCTGCATGTTTTGTGTTTGATCCCACACAGAGCACTGGCTGGGAGAGCAGGGGGGTAAGGAATGGGGTCTGACACTGAGAGTTACCCTCAAATGCTCTTGTAACTCCAGGGGAAAAACAGGTTCCCAGCCCGGGGCAAATAACCTTTGAAGCCGAAATCAGTCAAAGGGAGAAATAAAATGGGAGAAACTCATTTATTGCTTACAAGCAGTAGTCCACTTCTGCTTGCCTGTGTCTCTCTCAACCCAGCTGCAAAAAGGGACCCCACCAAATCTCTCCGGTCCAGATATGCACTCGCTCCCCCCACCTTTGTAATCACCGACTGATATGGAGATGGACTATTTCTCTCCACCCTTTGGGAACACCTATTGTTACGGAGATGCACTAAGTCCAGGAGAGAGATTTAAAAATTGTGATTTTACCCACAGCCCTCTAATCCAGGCCCTGTCCCAAAACACTGTGAGAGGTTTATTACAAGCATCAAGAAAGTAGAATGTCCAGAAGCCAACACTCCCCTTCCTTGAGGACAAGAGTCATTTCAATATCCCTGCAGGATACCAACAGAAAAGGCAGAATGACTCAAATGTTTCCTCTGACCCTGGCCACAGGTAACAGGGAAACAAGGGTCAAATATAACATGAAACACTACTGACCAGACCACTCAGTGCCTTAGCTGTG